GAGGGAAGTCTAACAAACAGCCTCGGGAAAATAGGGTTTGCATGGCATGTTGTTAGAGAAACATCTTGTTTCTGTCCGGAAGTTTTCCCCATCATTTCCAGCCTTATTTGATTATATCTCCCAGTCAGCCGGAGGATTTTGCTGGGAGGTTGTTATCCGCAGTTGGGAACCTGGGAGAGCGTCTTTCGGCTCAACGCTGCTTTTTAGCTCAAGCGAGGTGTGTGGCGGAGGAGCTGCCAGCAAAACGCAGCCACCTCCACGGGAGAGCTGCGGCGGGCATGTTACGAAAGGGTTTGGAGGATGGGAACAAGGCACATTTCATCCAGCTGGAGCCACAGGCAGGGCTGAAGGCAAGTGGCAAGCAATTACTCCAGCTGGAATCTGGCCAGGATGTCTTGAAATACCAGCTTGCAAAACTTTCACCAAATCACACCAACGGACCAGGTGTTTCTAGGATAACATATCTGGTCTTTAACTCCGCAATCTTCCCCAGGATCAGCAGAACCAGGAGAAAACCATTATCAGGAATTAACGCTGTAACGGATCCTCGGTCCCTCGAGACCCTCTGGGTCTGTTTGCTGAGCTCAGGACTTCGGGTACGTCCGGAGGAGAAAGGCTCATTTTTTTTCAGCTCTGGAGGAATAAGTCCCCTCTTCTTGCTCTGAAGAGGAATCCCTCCTAGCTTTTGACCCCACAGGATGTGTGCAGGTCTGACTGCACCCAGCAGAAGGCAGCAGTGAATGCAACTTTTTAGCACTTTTTACATTTAAAGAGGGATTTAAATGACTTTACCAATCTCTTGCATGTAGAGCTTTGCTCACCGCATGCTGGAGTGTGACCGCTTCTGCAGGGGCGTGTGGCAGCCATGGATAACCCCAGCCCAGGCTCGCTGCGTTAGGCATGGAGAGATGGCATCACTTGAGAAAGGCAAGATGCAATCAACCAAGCAAGGAGAGCAGATCTGGCACCCAAACCCACTTAAAAAAAAAAAAATCCTGGCACAAGGCTGCAAGGACTATGAGGGAACCAAGAATTCATTGTTAAGTGTCACTGGAGCCTTTTTCCACCCTAAAACCTCAGTCCCCAACAGCTTCGTGTTGCACAGTGCTGAGAGCCTCCCCCCTCCGCTCCCTGCCAGCCAAGGATTTGCAGCTGGACAGATTTAGGACGGAGAGCAACGCCACAGGAACATGAAAGGAGACATGTAAACATGGCCTGTGTCCATGCAAAGCTTGTGGCTTTATGCTGGCATTCCCAAGAACAAAATCATTGACCTCGTTGAGCAACAGCTTGAAAGGCAAAAAGAAAAGAAAAGGGCCCGAGATGACAGGGGTAGGATACACCCTTCCTGGCTACAGGCAGCGAGCACCCCCCGACTGCCAACCCACACGCTGGCGAAACCCACACCCGATGCTCTGTAAGGAGCAGCAAAGCAGAAAGACAGCAAAGAGGTCCACAGTCAGGCTCTGCAGCCACCAGCCCTCTCCATCCGAGCTACGCCATCCCAGTCAGCCTCCATCCAGGCACTTGGAGGAAGCCCCGGCTTGTCTACGGCTCCCCGGCTAGGCAAAGCATCCCCCAAACCCTGCCCTGCTCCCAGGACAGTTGCAAGCCACTTGCTTCCTGGAGTTGAGCCGTCTTGACAGCCTGGGAGCAGCTCCAGGTGCTTAACTTTGCTTTACCTTTCAACATCCCGTGTCAATTGAATGCGCTGGGAGCCCTGCCCCAGCAGAGCTCCTCCAGCCCGACACCGGCAACAAGGCTTTTCAAACAAAAATACAGTCCTCTCCAGTCTGGAAGCACACGGAGGAAGGGAATATTAACTACACCTCTGCTAACGAAACACCCAGAACCTGGTGAGAGGTGGTAAAGGGGAAAAGTGGGGGGAGTAAAAAGTAAAAGAGGAGGGAGCACAGCATCGTTATGCAACCGCGTTATCTAACGACCACGGAGACATCCTATAGGGGCTCTTTGTTTGCAGAGGCAAGGAGAAAGAAATGCCACCAATATCTGAGTCACTGGTTCACCAAGAGGCTCCGAAGTTATTTTCAGATGGAAACTTTTCCAGTTTCACATGATAATTTGAGAGGACTGGCTAATTCCCTGGCTCCACCCACTGCCTTGTAACACAGCTCCCTGCTGCTCTTGCATATATAGATAGGTATGGCCCTACCGCTGGGCGCAGACAGAAGAGCCTGGAGACAGAGGAAACCTGAACTTTCTTCCTTCTAACTGCCCTCCACCCGCTCCCACCATGAAGAAGGAAATATTAACCCTGGCCTTTGCTCGATCTGTCTTCGTTGAGTTTATCTGCACGCTCATCTTCGTCTTCATCGGCCTCGGCTCAGCCCTGAAGTGGCCATCAGCCCTCCCCAGCATCCTTCAGATTTCACTGGCGTTCGGCCTGGCCATCGGCACGCTGGTGCAGGCGTTTGGCCACATCAGCGGCGCCCACATCAACCCGGCGGTGACCATCGCCTTCTTCGTCGGGAACCAGATCTCCTTCCTCCGCACGCCCTTCTACGTGATCGCCCAGCGGGGCGGGGCCATCGCCGGGGCCGGCATCCTCTATGGCGTGACGCCGGTCAACACCCGCGGCAACCTGGCCATCAACGCGGTAAGTCTCCCTACCTGGAGATGGTTCACCTTGCCGTGCGGGCTTTCCTTTCCTTGGGAGAGAGGAGCTGGTACTGGCGCAACCCAGAGAGCCAAATCCATACGGATGGTTGATCTCGGCGCATTGTTCCTCATGCACAGAGGGACAGGAATGGGATAGGAGCAAACACCGGCGTAGCCAGCAGAGTATTGACATGACAGCTTTATCGTGTGGGGTAATGAATGGCATGTTTTTTTCCTCCTTTAATAAGTGCTTCCTTTATCCTAAGGGCCCAAGTGAGTCACCCACACCATTGAGATGTTCTTGACTGCAGCCTCTCCACCTGGAGATTAGTGCTGGGATAGGAGCCGTGTGCCAGGACGGAGACGGGGAGGGCAGGGAGCAGAGCCCAGTCAAACCAGTACGGGCAGGGGGAGCAGAAGCCCACTGCAACCGGTGCGCTGGGGGAGCTAGGAAACGGAGGTGGATGGAGAGAGGTGGTGGAGAAGAGCTGAAGAAGGAGCAATGTGTGGGAGGGTGCAGAGAGGCTGCGAGGGGCAGGGGCTGCTCTTGGAGGAGGAGGGGAGATGGTGGGACCCTCTGAGATAAGTGGGGACGAGCAGCATGTCTCAAACCCCTGGGGCAGTGCTGGGAAACCACCTGAAATGGGAGCGGTGGAGCTGCCCCTCCAACCACAGCCAGGTCTGGACCCCTCGGAGCAGCACAGACACGTTGCAGAGGGTTCGATCGCAAGGATGAGGTGCTGCAATGCATCCGATTCCCACATGCTCCGCGTCCCAAACCAGTCAGCTTTAGCTAAAAACCAAGCTGCGATGGCTTGGGTCACGTTGCCCTTCCCATGCCCAAAGGGGTCGAGTCCCCAGGGGTTAGCGCAGAGGCGCTGGGACAGCAACAGCCCATCTTACCCCCATGACTGCACCCCAGCCTTCATCCCAACCCTCACCCTTCATCCCGTGCCCCTCCGCGGCGGCTGCCAGCGGCTCCCCCGGCTGTCAGAGAGATGCTCCACAAAACGGAGGGGAGAAGAGACAGCTTGCAAGGATCAAGGGGGAAAGAAATGCAGGAGAAAAGGGACAAATAGGTGTGGGATTTGGTGGGAAAGCACCGAGTGTTACGGAGACAAGCAAGCGGAGAGAGATGTGGAAAGCTCCGGGAAGGGAGGGGCTCAGGGGAGAGACAGATTTTGGAGCATTAAAGAGAAAGAAAGATAATTTCTTCCCTTTCAGGGAAAGGAGCAGTGAGCCCGAGCAGTGGCCAGCACAGCACCTTGTGCCCAGGGCTGGGCAGGGGGGGATTCTAGTGCATGGCTTTGCCAACCCAAATCCACCAGCAAAGCACCCAAGAGCCCTCCCGGTGATGCCGAGCCCCAGGGATGGCTAATTATTGTCGCTCTCGATGGTTCGCAGCTCAACAACAACACGACCCCGGGCCAGGCCCTCGTGGTGGAGATCATCCTCACCTTCCAGCTGGCCGCGTGCATCTTTGCATCCACGGACAACCGGAGGAACGGCAACGTGGGCTCCCCAGCACTGTCCATCGGCCTCTCCGTCGCCGTAGGCCACTTGGTGGGGGGGAGTGTCCAGGCAGGAGGACAGGGCAGAGGGTCCCGCTAGGACGGGGCTCCCCAAAATACTCTTGTGCGGTTGATCCCAGACGGAGCTGCACTGGGAGAGCCAACATGGGACATGCGGGGGCTTCTTCTCTACGATGATGGGGGCGTCCCCAGCTCCCTGCAAGAGAAACAGCTGGGGGCTGTTTCAGTCCCTGCTTCTGAAAAGTTGGTCGTATCCGCTGAGCAACATGATGCATCTTAACCTGGTCTCCTTTCTGCACTGACAGATCTACTTCACCGGCTGCTCCATGAATCCAGCCCGGTCCTTTGGGCCCGCGGTCATCGTGAGGAGGTTCAGCCCGGCACATTGGGTGAGCATCAGCAGCGTGCCAGGACGGGCTGGCCGAGGGCTGCCAGGGCCAGATGCAGGCAATGAGGGGAGAGGGCAGCGAGTGCTGCAGGGAGTACAGGGCTGGGTGTTTCAGAGCCCATCCCAGGCCTGAAAGAATAAAAGGGGGCTGGAGAACGAGGGAGGTTGTCCCCCTTGATGCATGGGGAACAGGTTATCCCCATGGCACAGACCCAGCAAGGGGACAAGCATAAACCCCCCCATGCAATGGCGCACGCTGAGCTAGGGCATCATCTGAGGTCAATAAAGCCCACGGAGAAGCCCAGCTTAGGCTTTCCACTCGCCCAGCACTGCCTGCAAGCTCAGATCCAGCCTTGGTGCCTCCTTTCCAGCACACCACATCTCTGCGCTCATAAAGAACTTTATGTCTTCAGCAAGCAAAGGTTGAGGGAATTTCAGCCCAAGAAGTTTACTGGAAGGGGTATTTACATCTCTCCACGGGCTAGGAGACATGGAGCAGCGAGGGATGCTGGTGTGATGGCTGGACCTGGTGCACCAGCCTCCAAGACCTGCTCTCACCCTCTCCCTTGTTGCTTTCCAGGTGTTCTGGGTTGGACCCATCCTCGGGGCTTGCTTAGCTGCTCTGCTCTACTTCTACATCCTCGTCCCCTACTGCATGAACATGTCAGATAGGGTTGCCATCGTCAAGGGCACCTACGAGTCAGAGGAAGAGTGGGAAGAGCAGAGAGAAGAGAGGAAGAAGTCCATGGAGTTGACCCCACCGTAGGAACAGTTGGAAAAGAAGAAGCAAAAGGAGGGGAGGAAGCCCCACACATGGGCTCATGTGTGCACCAAAGCCAGGCAACGAACGCATCCAGCTACAACAGACTCTTAAGCAAAAGTCTTGTAACTCGAAGACCATCTGTGACTAAGAAAGGAGCATTGCAGTGTCTGTGTATATAATCCCTCTCTGTGAGTGTGAGCGCTAGAACCTCTCCCAGCTTAACTGCAGCCAGCTAAGCCCAGCAAAGGAGTCTCAGCCAGGGCAGCCTCTCAGCGGTGGTTTTACACCCCCTTGGCTGCATCCCTGCCCTCCGAGGTGTGAGCTTTGCACGATTTTCAGAGGCCTGAGGCCACACGTTCTGGCACACACAGGATTTCACCCCTGCGGCTGGTGGCCCAGGGGATGGAAACGCCGTGTAAATACCAGCGAAGAAGAATGACTGCTTTGGGCAGGTGGGTGCAGCAAAACCCCCCGCTTTCTCCCCGCCACAGAGCCCACGCTGCTCATAGATGCTCTTTCATGCATTAGCTGGTGCTGGTGAGTCCTATTTATTCGTGGCTGCAGAAAGAACATGATTTTTGGATTTTGTGTTGAGATCTTTGTAATATAGTATATTATTTATTATGAATAAAGGAAATTTTAAAAAAAGTCATGGGCACAAATCTGCTCAGGTATTCAATTTTAGGAGCAAAAATGGGTTAAGCTGGATGTAAAGCCATCCCAAAGAGGAGCATGTCCGAGCAAGTGCTTGGACCCCAAATCCCTTAACAGCTAGCACTACAAGCAGCTGGTTTGGGAGGTGATGGTCATTAATCCCGAGAAGGAGAAATGGGCACTAGCGTTGGAGTGGGGCGAGAGCAGGAGGTGCCTCACGACAGGGTGCCAGGTCCAGGGCGGTCTGAAGCCCATCTCGGAGGCTGGCAGGCGCTGGGAGGAGCGCGCAGCAATCCTTCACGCGCTTTGCCGCTTTGACTCAGGCACAGCTTTCTGCCATACCAGTTCTCCCAGACGGCTCCACGAGTGCCCTCAAAAACCGATCCACAACACTCCCCAGCCCCCTCACTGGGTGCCAAACCCACACCTTCACCCCGACTTTCTGCTGTAGCCCTGCTCTTCCAGTTCTGCCACAACCCTCTGCCAAAGCACCTCGCTCCGAACCTGGGCATGGGGACACAGGGTGCTGGCACCGTCCCAGCCATCCCTCCCACCAGCCCCCTGCAAAGCTCCGCCATCGCAGCCCCTCTTCTCGCTGCAAAGATGAGGTTTCCGCTGAGCGCGGACCCCTCGGGAGGTGGGAGATGCTTGCCTGATCCCAGATGCAGCTCAATCCCAATCAGGTGGGTTACGTTGCCTTCGCACAGCAGTGCCAGGGAGGATAGGCAGCATCACATATATTTTAGCATTACCTATATTTTGGTATGCCTAAGCAGATTTGCAATCCAGGCTGTGGCACTGCACGAGCCCGGGTAGCAGCAGACCCTCATCCCTCATTTTCCTTTGCCCCCCCAGCTCTCAAGAGAAGAGGTTGGTGACAAGCAGGAGGAGAAAAGGAGACGGAAAAGCCCTTAGTTTGGGTCACACAGGTCAGCAGCAGAGCTAGGAAGCTAAAAATGCAACCCTGCACCCTGTCTTTACCCTCCCACCTCACCCCTCCTCAGGGGTGGGCTGAGATCTATGACCCTTCTGTGCCTCAGTTTCCCCTTTTGTAAGGGGGAAGAATATTAAGCCCCTTTCTCATTGGGAAAGGGGAGCATGGTTCCATGTGGCATGGGAGATGCTCTACAAACACCAGCCCCAGGAAAACATTAAAGCACCTAAAGATCCCTCTCGGAGCAACCCACGGTGAAGCATGGGGCTGGGGCGGGTCAGCATTCCCAAAAGCTGCATCCCACAGTCTCCTTCCACTGCACCCCTAGACCCTGAAGATGCACCCAAAGGGTGCATTCAGATGTGTCCCCCCCAGAGCGGGGAATCCTGGGCGTCCCCCTCGCTTTGCTGCTCTAAGCCCCATCCACCCTAGCACCGGAGAAGGGATCCAGGAGTCCTGGCATACCCCACACCCACCCCACAGTGGGAATCGGGGGCCACCGCAGCACCCCGTGGAGGGGCCCAGCCCACACCAGCACCTCCAGCGTGATCAACAACCAGGAGAAGAAACCCAGCCTGGGTGTGAGCCCTCCGCGGGGATGAATCAGAGGATCCTGCGGCAGCAGCTTTGCGTCAGCACAAAAAGCATCCAGGGCCTGGCTCAAGAGCGCAGGCAGGATGGCCCCACGCCGGGGGGAGGGGGCCACAAGCAGTTAACCCCCTTCCCCAACGCACAGGCAGGGGCAGACCCTAAACCATGGGGTAAATGCAAGCTGGAGCCCGGCGAGCATGCCGGTGAAGCCAGCAGCATCCCCACGCGGTGCAGAGGTCTGGTGCTCAGCGGGAGCCCTGGCGCACCTTCCCCACCCGGCTTCTCGCTGGTCCGGGTTGCCTTTAATCCAGGCAGAGAAGTTGCCTTTAATCCAGACCAAACCCTGACATCCAGCAGGCGCCGTGACCCGGTGTTTGCCGGGACAGGCACAGGGCAGAGCCCAGGTCGCGGCTGGGAAACCCCGAGGTCCTCCTGCCTGTTCTCGCCTGCCCAGAAACGGGAACAGCAGCGCTTAAAAACAAAGAATTTTTTTTTTTTTTTTTTAAAAACGTTCAATCTTCTTCAGCCCCATTTTTAAATGAGATTGTTACTGCTGACCACCAGCCTTTCAACACTCCCTTAGCAGAAATCACCACTTCACAGAAAAAAATACCTTTATTTCAGCAGACACAGCCAGGGCTGGTATAATCCCTGCTCATTCAAACCAGATTTACCTGTAGTGCACAATAATGCAGTCACAGCTACGCCACGCTCATTTTCCCAGCTTCTCCCTCGAAACAGGCGTTTCCATTTCAGAAGCAGTATCTCAGCACACCCCCATCCCATACAGCCACGCCGCCGCCTACCCTTCCTTACGACCATACAGATCCAGCATTGTTTTGGTTATAAAAAAGTGATTAATATAAAAAATATTGCTGCTTTGTACTACCAGCTATTTTTTTTTCCTATTTTAGAGGTATATCACCAGCTGAAACTATTACACTGAAGCAGCTCAGTCTACCATTCTTGTACGTATTTGCCATAATTAAGAAGGGGGGAACGGATGCAGTTATTTCCTAAACATGCCTACTAGCAATTTCTTTGCACTAAGAGGATTTCACAGACTATTTCTCATTCTTGAGTATCTTTTCCATTAGCAGGTAATTACTGCAGAGCTTTAAAGATTTCAGGGTTTTTTTTCCTGGCAGGGAGGAAAAACCCAACTATTTTCACGTGTCGTAACAATCTAGAAACCTTATATCTTTTTTACGCATCAGAGGGCTTTCAGTCTATTTAAAGAAGGTCTCTAGCAGCTCTGTTTGCGTATCGTTTAAAGTCCCTGAAACACAAGCTCGCTGGGCCATTGTAGAGGTAGGGGAAGGAACCGGGTGCTTGAGGAGAAGCAAGACCCAGTGTGGCAACATCTCAATGAAACAAAGATTTTTCAAGGGGTTGCGGGTGCCTCTTTGCTTCAGTCCCTCGCGCGGGGTCAGCCCCAGCTCTCTCCATCACTCTGCCTCTGAGCTCCAACAATTTGGGAGCAGATGCCTTCTACCCTGCTACCAGCTCGGACTATTTTGCAACCTCAAGTGCTTTGCTTAAAGCCGCGGTTTCTGACTTCAGATGAAAAGCACGAGGCTGGTTTCACCTGGAGAACAAAGCGGAGCAGTGCCCAGTCCTGCTTGTTGAAAACAGGACGAGAGACGAGAAAGAAACCCAGGCAAACAGCAGGGAAGACGGAATAGTGCTGCAGAGGGGTATTTCAGCACATCAACTCTCCCCAGAAAGTCCAAGCAACACAGGGCAGCAAACCCCCCCTCCAGGAGGGTTTCCACCACTTTTCTGGAGAGTCCCAAGCATCCGGGGACCAACTCCAGAGCAAGGCGAGCCACAGAGAAGCCAACCTAGATACGTCCTCCCTCTGCACGTAGCTCCACGCCGCACTGGAAGATGCGCGAGGCTTGCAAATCAAGACGTTTCCAGTGCATCTTCCAGGGCTGATGAGCAGAAACGCTGCTGACAGAGGAGAAGCCTCTGCGCAGAGGCATGGCAGAGCCTGGCGTTGGCGTTAGCCATGGTGCACTGTGCCAGCACCCACCTCCTTTTGAGCACAAGCACGAAGTCCTCCCCCTCCTACTCAGCCTCTGCCCAGCCTATAGTTGCTGCGGTACCAATTCCTTACAAGCCAAGAAACAGCTCACGCAGCCATTGAGGGCCAACAGCCACCCTTCCTGTTGTCAGAAGGCATCACCCGGCCGGGTAACGCAGCCTCCGCCTGAAGATCAGCTCCTGTAATTTGTATTTTGCTCGCTGGCTCATATCATGCATGATTTGGTGTTGAAGGCAGCAGGACACTGGG